TTTTGAGAATGATGAGGGCAACAAATGTATAAGTGTGCTTTACACAATGTACGGATTGTGATGAGAGTTGTAAGAGCCCCAATAAAATGATTTTTTAAAAATAGCACTGGGGATTGATGGGATGTTCTGAATGTCTTTAACCCTTCCAACTTCTGAGTGTAGAGTTAGTTCCTCAGGGTGCCACCAGCTAACCTTGCTTCATTTAGTGTGAAAAGGCACTCACTGCATGAGGTAGAAAATTCTTTTTTAAACTTACCTATTCTTTTGGATTATTAAATAACCTAAAATTAATGACGGCTGTGTAAATGTATATTGAAAGTTTAGTTCTGTCTTAGTATATCATAGAGTTAAATACTAGTTGTCTTTTAGTGTTATGTTTTTATTCTTCCTAACAAGTGCACAAGTGAACATTTATGAGTGAATGTGAGACCCTGTGTTCTCACATATTACTCGTGGTCATCAAAGGATCATAAAGAAGGTTAAACTTTTCCTTGCCTTTGCTGAGAATGAGTTTTGAATTCTCTATTTCAGATACCTTTAATGTGCACCAAGACGATGACCTGGCCGAGTTTCTCTTTCTTCCCAGTGACCCAGCCAATGCTGCAATATTGCCAGAGCAAAAGGATCCTTCAAGAGACATTTATGGTATTTTTTCTTCCACCGCATTTATACTTTAAGTGAACGGTGTGGCCTGTCATCTTTGAAGTTAAACGCTAGGCAAGATCATGTGGAGGGGCTCTGGCCGTGACATAAAGCCACCCTCACCTAGAAAAGTTATACTTGAGCAGCTCAAGGATTCCTTATTTCTTCCCCAGAGACCCAAGACCCATAATCTAGGGCCCAATTTCATCTTCACATTCTACTCTTTCCTGGCTTTGAGCCAGTTACCAGCCTCTCAAAACTTAAGTTCCTTGCTATAATCTGTATTATATAGTTTGTTACACTAAAACCAGAGAGAAAGCTTTGGTCATTTCAATCTTTGTAACAGTATAGAATTGTTTTCATTAGTCCTTAATTCTGTGTCTTCATGGCATTATTTACAGCTCAGTGTGGACCAAGTTTCAAACCTATCTTTGTGTTTCCATTGTAGGTATGCCACACTATGACACTTGTGCTTCAGAAGCTGGTGATGTGCCTCCGGGGTGGTCTGTGGAAGTCCCTGACTCTCTACACCCAGCAGCCTTCTTAGCCCCTGAGTCTTTTAAACAACCTCTGCAGCCCGCTGAAGGTACATGCTTAGAACCCTCTTGTCTCAGTGAATGATTACAGTATTGATACTTATTTTTTAGCAGTTTATATCTCAATGGTGAAAATGACAGAACCATCACAGGTATTTTTAAACTTAGATGACTGTCAGCATGTCCTTACATGGTACAAATGGTCTGCACTCGCCCTGTGAGTCTGTGGGGAGACAGAAGAAAGAGCTTCTGGTCTGCCTCGCTGAAGGTTATAGTCTGGGGAGCAGTTCTACTCCGTAACGCATGGAGTAGCCGCGCCCTGGAACTGACTTCGTGCTAACGGACACCAACAGAAGCATTATTGCTGCACTGCTGGAGGAGTTAAAGTTGCGTTACAATACATAGGATCAGTGAGCAGAATAAATCTCTTCTTAATTCAGTGCAGATTAAAACTGTGGGACTTTTATTTATAATAAGGATTACTGTGAAGGGAGGGTTGGTGTAAAGGGGGAACTGATTACTAG